AGATGAGGTCTCGCCTGCCCAGGCGGGTCTCGAACCCACGGGCTCAGGCAATCCACTCGCTTCAGCCTCCCAAAGGCGCGGGATGACAGGCTGAGCCACCGAGCCCGACTGCCAATCCCTTTCTTATAGTATTATGATAAATGTTCAGCATCCACTTATGAGCAAGAGCACGTGGTACTCAAATCTTCGTTTCTGTGATAAATCACTGGGTATTATAGATTCTAATTCTATCCAGGTTGCTGCGAAGTTCATAATTTTATTTTTCTTTATGGTTGCATAATAATTCATTGTGTAAATGTACCATATTTTCTTTATCCAGTCCACTTTCGATGGGCACCACAGTAGGTTCCATGTTTTTGCTATTGTGAAAAGCAAATTCAGGTGTCTTTTTTATATAGTGATTTGAGTTCCTCGGGGTATACTCCCCGAAGGGGAATTGCTGGGTTGTACGGAAGGTCGATTTTTAGATCTTTTAGAAATTGCCACACTGTTTTCCACCGAAGTTGTACTAGTTTGTACTCCTACAAACCGGGTAGAAGTGTTCCCTTTTCCCCACATCCTCTCCAGCATTTGATGTTTTTTGAGTTATTGATGATGGCCATTCTGACTGGAGTTAGGTGGTATTTCAGTGTGGTTTTAATTTGCATTTCTTTGATGATTAATGAGACTGAGCATTTTTTCATGTATCTGTTGGCTGTTCGTATGTCTTCTTCTGAGAAGTGTCTATATATATCTTTTGCCCATTTTTATTTTTTTTAATTTTAATTTTTTTGAGTTGGAGTCTCGCTCTTGTCGCCCAGGCTGTAGTGCAACGGCATGCTCATGGCCACTGCAGCCTCCAGCTGCTGGACTTAGGCGAGGCTTCCGCCTCAGCCTTCCAAGTCACTGGAACTACCGATGCATGCCACCACATCCAGCTAGTTTTTGTGATTTATTGTAGAGATGAGATCTCATCAAATTGCTCAGGCTGGTCTCGAACCCACAGGATCAGGCAATCCTTTCACCTTGACCTCCCACAGTGCTGGGATTACAGGCTGAGCCACCAAGCCTGGCCTTGCCCATTTTTAATAGGGTAGGTTTTTTTTTGTTTTTGTTTTTTCGGTGCGTTTGAGTTCCGTGTCGATCCTGGTTGTTAGGTCTTTATCAGACATACAGTTGGCAAATATTTTTTCCCATTCTGTAGGCTGTTTTCCCACTGTCTTGATGGTTTCCTTTGCTTTGCAGATGCTTTTCAGTTTGATGAGATCCCACTTGCCTATCTTATCTTTTATGGCATTCACTTGGAGAGTTGATAAGGAATTGGTTGCCTATTCCAATTTCTGTAAGGGTGTTTCCTGTTTTCTTCTAGAATTCTTATAGTTTGAGGTTTTACAATTAGGTCTTTGATCCATTTAGAGTTGATTTTTGTATTTGGTGGTAGGTAGGGGTCTTGTTTCAGTCTTCTGCATGTGATCAGTCAGTTTTCCCAGCACCATTGACTGAATAGGTTCTCCTCTCCCTATTGGTTGTTGGTAGAGGCTTTGTTGAAGATGAGTTGGTTGAAAAATTGAGGCTTTGCTTCCAGAATCTCTATCCTGTTCCATTGGTCTATAAGCCTGTTTTTGTTCCAATACCAGGCTGTTTTGATTATTGTAGCTTTATAGTAGAGTTTGAAGTCTGGAAGTGTGATACCTCCCACTTTGATTTTTTTTGCTAAGGATGGTGTTGGCTATTTGTGGTCTTTTATGTTTCCATATGAATTTCTGTATTGTCATTTCTAGGTCTGAGAAGAACGATGCTGATAATTTAATGGGTATTGTGTTATATCTGTAGGTTGCCTTTTGTAGGATGGACATCTTAACAATGTTAATTCTTCCAATCCATGAGCATGGAATATTTTTCCACTTGTTTGTGTCTTGGAAAAGGACTTGATTACTTTAGCATAGTGCATGTATCCATTTAGACAATCACATACTGCTGATTTAGAAAAAGTATAATCTTACCAAGACCAGGACCAAATCAATAACCATATGAAGCCAGGTAACTCTGATTGCTAGATGAAATATTTTTATCCTATGATTGAGATATCACGATTATGGTAGCATGTAGAGCAATAATAGATAAAAATATCACTAATACTAGAACAGCAGCATACATAAATAAACTTTGATAACTCTTTCCTAAATCTGAAATTAAGAATTTTTTGAAACGTTAATACATTGCATTGGTAACTAAACAACTTACACAAATGTTTTTCCTCTAGCCTGTCTATATAGTCAAACCAAAATGGCAAAACCAAAATATATTTTATTGTAGTATTAATTTCTTAATGCTTGTCCTTAATTGATATCAAATATTATAAAACATTATTGAAACACATATATTAAGCACTGTTAGTATTTATAATGATATTTTTACTGATTTTATTATCAATTCTGCTTTTTTTTTTTTTTTTTTTGAGTTGGAGTCTCATTCTGTCACCCAGGCTGGAGGGCAACGGCATGCTCACAGCCACCACAGCCTTGACCTGCTGGGCTCAGGTGATTCTTCCATCTCAGCCTTCCAAATAGCTGGAACTACAGACACGCGCCACCATGCCCAGCTAATTTTTATTTTATTTTATTTTATTTTATTTTAAAGATGAGGTCTCGCCAAGTTGCCCAGGCTGATCTCTAACCCACAGGCTCAGGCAGTCCTTTTATCTCGGCCTCCCAAAGTGCTGGGATTATAGACTTGAGCTACGATGCCCGGCTGATTACTCTTAATACTTAATGACTTAATTAACATAGTAAATAATATTTTAGGCATACTTTGAAATATTATTTAACATATGCTTTTAGTTTGGGCTTTGAAAATAATTCGTATTTCTTTCTGGAACAAATGAAAATATGTCTTATTTGTTATAATTTCTTCCAAAGATGAGACTCCTGAAATTACAGAGTTGGAGAATGCTGGATTCTGTGATGTTCGAAAATATAATTGCACGATGGTGAGAGTTTTTGGTCAAGGCTTCAAAGAATCACCTTCAATTAAATGTGAAGTTACTAAATTGCAGGTATGTTATAGAGTTGAGAAACAATGGAATGTAAGAGTTAGATTAATTTTATCTTGGATTAGTTTGGTCCAAATAGCAACAGAATCCCCAAAAATGTTATATCCACAGTAAGTTAATGATTACGTTGCTCAGGCTTAAAGCTTCCCTATTTGTTAACTTTATTAAAATATTTTGCAGAATTTTTATTGAGATATTGGCTATTTTCAGCCATCATAAAAAAACTAAATTGATGTCAAGCTTGATATATGCAAGCTTATGTTTTTCTTGAAATATAAAACACAAAGAATGGAGATCGTTTCTAGCCAAGACACCCTGCATGAACTGTAGGGTATGGAGATATGAGCATTTCCCATTTACAAACCAAAAAATAAGGACTAATTACATTCATCCTTTTTGTTTTACTTACTGTGGAATTCAAATTGGAAAATACACCTCCTGTCCCAATTAATATGTTTCTTAAGTTCACAAAAGCAGACTTAATAAGTTTGAATATTAGTATATCAAATTATACCTTATTTTTAGTAATTGTTTAAGTGGTCTTCCTTTTCTTTATTAGAGTGGAATTTTGATTTTAAGGATAAATTATCTTTGAATTTAGAAAGTATTTATATGAGTAAGCTGAAAATTTAAAACAAAGTCATACTTGAACATTCTTCTTTTTCTGTAAATTGATGAAGTCAACAGTGATTCTGAGATTGAAAATTTGCAGGAGGAAATAACTTTTGTATGTATTTCAGGATTTTATGGGTAGACCCTTTCTAAATAAACCATGAACTATTTTAATCCCCTTGAAATAATAAGTCACACAATAGAAAGATATATGTAAAATTTCATTATCACTCAAGAGAGTGGACATTATATTGGTCTTGGCAGAATAAATCATGTGACATCACACTACAGTTAAGTGATTTGTATAGATTTATATTCTCTTGGAAAGTACATCTCATACTTTCAGACATTACTTATTGTGATTTACTCTCATACCACCTCCTCTTCCAAACATCTGATAAACAAAGAGTAAAATCTGGACTACGCTAACAGGCTGTATAGACATATAGAAAGAAAGAAATATGTTTACTTGCCAAAACCAAGATTAGAATGCATATCTGGTTTTTATTTCACACTGTGCTAAAGTTAAGTCAGTATCTCCTAGCCCGTCTTGCCCAATGCTGAGTTTTAAAGGCTTTTCTAACTTTGGATTCATCCTCCTCAAGCCTGACTAGTTGGGCACTATTTTAGGTTTTCCAACCAACCAGCATGGGTCCTGCTCAAAACCTTCTTTGTCTGGAATTTTGTATGGCATGCACTTGTTCGCCCACTAAGCTAATGCCTTCTCCCAGCTTCTTTGTTACTGTGTTCAGTTAACACGAGTGGATTTCTGTTCACTTTTAAAGTTTGAATTCTAGCTCCTTTTGAAGATTGGGTTCCTTTTAAAAATCAAGCTTTTTGAAAATCAGATCATGCAAAACCTTCACGATTTCCCATTGTGTGAAGTGTTTATTCCTAATGCATAGTGATCCATTATATGTGGTCAGTATTGGTAACTTCTTCTATTTGAACCACCAAGAAATGCATGAGGCATTAAAAACTGTTTACATCAAATTAAGTTGTATACATTTTTCATCATTCTGGATAAAACTCACTCTCAATGTGACTTTGTTTTCTCATTATATATTTTGTTACAATGGGCACTTTTTTTTTTTACAATTTATGCTTTGATTATATGTAATTCACTAACAAGATATTTTCATAATGTAATAGAGGTTAATTGCTTTCTCATAATGTCTTCAGTATAACAGCAGTAAGTGGGTACTTGGAGAACCTGTCTACACACAGACTGTTTTTCAAAATCGGAGAACTGTAGCTTGTCAGCTGCCCACTGAAGTCCAGCAGATTGTTACAATGGATCTGATGGGTGAGAATCCAATTGGGAAGTGGCAATTAAAGGTAAAAAAATAAAAAGATATCTTCATATTTATGAACAAAGTAAATGCGTACATATTAAATTTCACAGTGAATTTATGAAGCCACATTTAGAATAAATTATCTTATTATAGAACTACATTTTACAGGTATCTAATGATGGTCATAAATTCAGTAATCCCAAAATAATGATCATATATGATGGTGCTTGTCAAGTTTGTAATCTCTATAAAAATGACTCCTGTACTTTAAAGGTATGTATCTTTTAACTTATGCTCATTTTTATAGTAGAGGTACTTTCATTTTTCCTGCTGTTGGAATATCAATGATAGTTTTCGCACTTTCATATCATAAAGACTAATAGAGCAAAGCCCTCCTTGAGTTTAGATAAGGTAACTGAAATTGTGACTCTGCATATAATTCTTGTTGAACTAGCAGTGGAAACATTTGTACCTTTAACATTTTGAAGTGGTAAATTGTTTATCTTTAAAAAAATCAAAAGAAGGGGTTCAGACTGAATTATAACTCTCCTTCCCTCCTACACACCTTGCTTTTTCAGTAGTAATAATGATTTTTCCAATAAAACATCTCTTTGTGATTACCAAGTCCTCTTTGTGGCAAATGGCATGCATTTAGGTAAAATTCATAAAATGTATAAGGCTAGCACTTTTATGGAAAATTTTTTCTAGCAACTAAGTTCATCGGACCATGCAAATGCCTGTCACTTGATGAGTTATGGAACAACAGCACAATCTGAGCTGAGTACTCATAGCCACACCTTCTTTTTAATCTGTATTTAGTCTATTGGGTTCATCGACAAGGTTCTCTCACATGTAAACTGCTGATTTAACAGGTATCAAGAATCTAATATCACTTGACTTTTCAAGACCGAGAGGCATACAAGTAATATTTATGTATACAAAAGTTAAAAAATATTTATATATTTTTTGAGTTGGAGTCTCACTCCGTTGCCCAGACTGGAGTGCAGTGGTCGCTCCTGGCCACCGCAGCCTCGACCTGCTGGACTCCGGTGATCCTTCCACCTCAGCCTTCCAAGTAGCTGGAATTACAGGCATGCGCTACCACGCCTGGCTGATTTTTTGATTTATTGTAGAGATGAGGTCTCACCAAGTTGCCCAGGCGGGTCTCGAACCTACGGGCTCAGGCAATTCACTCACCTCAGTCTTCCAAGGCACGGGATTACAGGCTGAGCCTCCGAACCCGGCAATAAAAATATTTTTAAACTTTAAATCCTTTTTTCGTAAGATTAACCATCAGATCAAATCAGTTTCTGTTTTTGAGAAGGTATTACTATTTTCCTCGAAATATTCTGTTTCCACATTTCCATAAATACTTCAAATATGTTACTCAAGGTTGTTTTCTCCTTTTGGGGGCTATTTTGTTCTCATTTTTGTGCAATGTTCCAAGTTATATTAAAGGAGTTTTTGTAAAATAAAATGAGCAAAGTTTATATCTCTTGAACAAAATTCAGTCCTCTTCCCAAGTTAAGAATGATTGCTACATTTTTTTTTTTTTTTGAGTTAGAGTCTTATTCTGTCACCCAGACTGGAGTGCAGTGGCACACTCCTGGCCACCGCAGCCTCGACCTGCTGGGCGCAGGTGATCCTTTTGCCTCAGTCTTCCAAGTAGCTGGAACCACAGGCGCAGGCTACCATGCCCGGCTAGTTTTTTATTTATTGTAGAAACAAGGTCTCGCTAAGTTGCTTGGGTGGATCTCGAGCCAGCGGTCTCAGGCAATCCTCTCGCCTCAGCTTCCCAAAGTGCTGGGATTACAGGCTGAGCCACCGAGCCCGGCTGATTGCTACATGTAATGTTCTTTTTGTGCATGTCTGCATCTCTTTCAACTATTTAGTGTAATGATATCTATTATCAAGTGTGGATAATAAATGCCATAGATTTGGTCTAGTTTCGCTGTGTTCACAGGATGCAGTGGGCTGCTAGGAAAACGAAAGATAACTATAATGTAATTTGATAAAACACAGAGGAAAAAAGCTAGTTGTATTTCTTTATGAATAAAAGCTTGGAAGGCTGAGGTGGAAAAATTCCCAGAGACCAGAAAGTCAAGGCCATGAGCATGCCACTGTACTCCAGCCTGGGTGACAGAGTGAGATTCCAACTCAAAATAAATAAATAAATAAAATAAATAAATAAGGCACATATGTTCTCACTCACAAGTGGACCTTGAACAATTATAATACTATAAGAAAGGGATTGGCAGTAGTGGGAAACTGTCGGAGGTGGGGGTGGGATTGGCAGTTGAGGGAAACTGCTAGGGGAGGGAGGGGCATACCTCATCAACAAGGGTACGCATAATCAACGTTTGTATACCTAACCCTTCATAATAAAAAATAAATAAATAAAATAAATAAAGCACGTCCTGCATGGGTTTAACAATGAAAAAAAAAAAGAAAAGAGAATTTTTCTTCCATGTTATTTATAAACCACAAGCTATCGTTTTGCACAGAGATGCAACTTATATGTATTACTTTCTCCAAATTTATCAGTTCCATAGGCATTTACACTTAGAGGTGATAATTTGTTTTCTAATATGCATTTATGATTATGAGGTATGAAAAAATGTTTCCTAACCAAAATATATTTATAATATGCTCTCATTGGAATCATCAATACACATGCTGCTATTCTTTCAAGTACAATTTTTTTTTCTATAAACTAACTATCGCTGTATCTTCATTGATGTTTTCCTTTGAAAACATTTCCTTTAGGAAGACGTCTGCATTATTGATGGACTCTGCCACTTTGAAGGGGATAAAAATCCAACAAGCTCTTGTTTGATTTGTAGACCCCAAATTTCAAAATTTACTTGGTCATTTTTAGAACGTAAGTTATTTCTTATTAATCCAACTATTTTCCATATAAGACATTTTTAAAAGTGATTTTAAGCCATAAGTTACATAAATGTGTTTAAGACAAATGAAGTCTGTGTTTAATTTAGCATCGCTCCTAACTGCATAATTTACTTTGTTGGAAAGAAATGTAAGATGAAAAGATTATACATATTTTTATGACTATACTACAATAGAGTATGGGATTTAAAAAAATATTTGATAAGGAAAACAAATGCCATCTATTAATGAAAGAAGTGGGAATTGTCAATTCAGTTACACCCAATGTCCTATTCTTAGCCTTACCTCTGTTCAGTTTTGTGACAAGGAACTTAGCCATAAATGGTTAAAGCTCCAAAGGTCATGGGTTTATTGCCTGTTAAATAAGGTATCTGGACTCACTAATCTATAAAGTGCCTTCCAGCCCTACCATTCTGTGAAGTAATGAGTGTAATATTGGGTACAAATAATTTGAAGATACTTTGTTCTACCCAAACAATACCTAAATTATAGTCACATACCAGATAATTCTTTATTTTCCTAAACACCGCTATTATGATTCCACATGGGCTTCCAAGCGTTCCTTCCTCATAGGGAGATCAGACATTATTAAGTACAGTAAGACACAATTTTTCCCTGGCCCCATGTAATTTTATCTAAGGGGGTCATAATACTTTATATGATGGGTGACCCCCCCAATGAAATTTATTCATTAAACATTGTGTATTTATTCTGAAATGTGTGAACTTCAGTCATCTTCAAAGTACTCTTTGTTTGATGCAGTACACCTATCAAGACACTTTTTCCACTGCTCAAAACAGTTTCTGAATCATCAATTTTGATGCCTGTTAGTGCTTCTGCCGTTTTTTGTTTCACCTCTTCCACATTGGCAAAATGTTTCCCATTGAGGACTTTTTTCATCTGGAGAAACAAACAAACAAACAAAAAAAGTCACTCAGTGTGAGATCGTATGAATAGGGAGGGTGGGGCACAGGGGTCATGACATTTTTTGGTCAAAAATTGCTGTACACTCAGTGCAGTGTGAGAAAATGCATTGTCAGGGTGGAAGAATCAGTCGCCTGTTTGCCACAACTTGGGATGTTTCTGGAGAATACAGCTTCTCACAACAATATTAGATGGTACACTGATGCTGCTGATAGGTTCCTAGAACACTTAGCGGGGAAGCCTATACTACAAGGGGCCTGTCTTCCAAAAGATAATTCTGTTTTTTGGGGGGAGGGTACCCCTCATATGGTGCTTTGTCATGCCATTATACGAGTTATTGTATGGGCAAATTTTATTGCTGTGTTAGACCATTTGCCACACGATTCACTGCTTAGGTACAAGAGTCACAGAATATTGTGGAGAGACAATGGAAATATGAGAAAAAAATTTAGTAGAAGAGATGAAGAAAACACTATATAACTTCTGAATAGGTGCCTATGTTTATTCATGGCTATGGTATGACTGATGCTTTAGAGGCTCATAGTAATCAAAGACATAAGGAGCCTTAAAAATATCATCCCTTTCAGATCCCCCATATTGAGAACTAGGAAATTAAGATCAATATATTGGGCTGCAGCCAGGCTCGGTGGCTCAGCCTGTAATCCCGCACCTTTGGGAGGCTGAAGTGAGTGGATCGCCTGAGCCCGCGGGTTCGAGACCCGCCTGGGCAGTGAGACCTCATCTCTACAATAAATCAAAAAATCAGCCGGGCGTGGTAGCGCATGCCTGTAATTCTGGCTACTCGGAAGGCTGAGGCGGAAGGATCGCCGGAGCCCAGCAGGTCGAGGCTGCGGTGGCCAGGAGCGGCCACTGCACTCCAGTCTGGGCCACAGGGTGAGACTCCAACTCAAAAAAAAAAAAAAAAAAAAATTGGGCTGCTTGTGGAAGAATATACAGGGCAGAATGGGAGCCAGAACTAATCTCTTGGCATCAGTGCTTCATTGATGGAAGCAGAGTGTTTGTACCTACTACCATGTATTGAGGGTATCATTCCTTCTATTTAGTCTGTGGGCTAAGAAAGTGGCCGTTTTTTTTTTCTTTTTCTTTTCTTTCTTTCTTTTTTTTTCTATTAAGACAATATAAAAAGATGCTTTAGATGGTATCATGAGCATAAAGGAAAATCTGCCTGTCCTTGGAAATAGCCACTTTTCTAGTGTGGGAGCTTGGCCACTGGAAGGACCTCAAGTGCAGGAGATGAATAAGACCCATGGCACCCAAGTGTTCCAACTAGGGAGACAAGCACACGAACCGTGTAGTCATGGGTAGTAAGGGAGAAATTGAGAGAGGGAGGTGTGGAGGAAAGAGTGAGACTGAAAGAAGAGTGCAAAGGAGAAAGGGAGAGAGAGAGAGAGAAGGAAGGCCAGGAGGGGAGGAAGGGAGGGAGGGACGAACACCATGAAGTAACACAAGACAAGAGGAGCTGCATCTGTCTGGGCAGTGCACGTGTTTCTATATTCTATGCTATATACAAAGAGCTTTCCTGCTTTCATAGCAAAGCATAAGGTCTTGCGCCCGTCACTTACATTTTGCATTTTCTGAGAATGGAACTGAATTTATTCAGAATGTTTCAAAAAAAAATGGGAGAATGCAGCTAGCAGACCTTTGACCAGTGTTTGGTCCTTATCAAAATGCCTGTCTCCATGGGAGCTCTCAGAATCACACTTTCCTCTCCTACGTGGGTACCAAGTTCAATGTTTTCTCTGTTGCAGACAACCAACCCCCAGTGATTCAGACATCGCAAGACAAATTACAGGCTTTTTATGGGGAAAGATTTGAGTACCAGTTCATGGCCCTCGATCCGGAAGGTTCTGACATCCATTTTACGTTAGATTCGGGTCCCGAAGGAGCAAATATTTCCTCTGCAGGACTTTTTATGTGGAAAACAGAGTCTCAAACTCCCCAGCAATTCACTATTCGCCTTAAAGATGACTGTGGTGCTGAGATGAGAGTCACGATTGAGGTAATAATCATAATGACTTAAGTGTCACTGGATTCTTGGGCAATTGTAACAACTCGATTTCTAGTTTAAAATATAGCCAGTAAACCGGGCTCAGTGGCTCAGCCAGTAAGCCCGCGCTTTGGGAGGCTGAGGTGAGTGGATTGCCTGAGCCCATGGGTTCGAGACCCACCTGGGCAACTTGGCGACACCTCATCTCTACAATAAATCAAAAAATTAGCTGAGCGTAGTAGCGTGCGCCTGTAGTTCCAGCTACTCGGAAGGCTGAGGCGGAAGGATCGCCGGAGCCCAGTAGGTTGAGGCTGCGGTGGCTGGGAGCGGCCACTGCACTCCAGTCTAGGCGATAGAGTGAGACTCCAACTCAAAAAAAACCAACAAAAACAAACAAACAAACAAATATATATATATAAGCAGTAAAAGAAGAAAAAAATAAATATAACAACAGCAACAATAAATAAATAAAATACAAGCAGTATTCTTAATCATAAAGAGCAATCAAGTTATTAAATATTGAATAAAAAAATTAAACTGCAAAAAATTGACCTATCTTTATAAGGATTTAAAACCTTACAGTCTCAAACCCAGAAGCATGAACTTAAGTGAATAATGTCTACATCATTTTAGTCTATACTTAGTCTATACTTAGTCTATACTTAGTCCATGAAAGATCTGATTAATCTAACATTGATTAGTATACCCTTTTCCTTCAAGTGAACAAACTGCAGATGTTGAATTAGAAATATCAGGATTATAAATATGACCTGAAATAACTAATTGGCAACTGTAATTCTTTTCTTTATTGACTTTTCTTTTGATTATGTCAGTCATGAGTGCTTAATACTTACAGACCATTTTTGTTTCCTTTATTCACTTGAAACTTGAGACACACACTCAACCAGAAGCAATATTATGAAGCATAACTGCATTCTATGCTATGTTGACCCAATAATTCAAGTGATTGCTATCTCTATGCTTGGGGATAACCTAGGTTTGGGGATAACTGCTTTCTACTTAAATGATTTTTTTCCCCATTATCCTGCTTGCATTATAGAAATTGATCATCTTGTAACATTTTTAAAAAAGTTATTCCTAGCATTTATATTATGACTATACTTTTGAGAGTGAACAGAGTTGCCTATTAGACTATTTTGGGGGGGCTGGACATGGTGGCTAATGTCTGTAATCCCTGCACTTTGGGAGAACAAGTGGGAGGATTGCTTGAGACTGAAAGACCAGCCAGGGCAACATAGTGAGAACTTGTCTTTACAAAAAATATTTTAAAATTAGCCAGGTGTGGTGACATGTACCTGTAGTCCAAACTACTTGGGAGGCTGGAGCAGAAGAATTACTTGAGTCTAGGATTTCAGGACTGCAGTAAGCCATGATTGCACCATTGCCCTCCAGGCTGAACAACTGAGTGAGACTCCTATCTCTAAAGATAAAACAAAACTATTTTTGAATACCACTTTATAATACATCTATATTCCAAATATATGAGATTTTTCATACTTATACATAAACATACATGCCTGTCATGATTTCTGGGACATAATCTGAAAAAAGTCTATTAAGAAGTAAAGATTTTTTTTTTTTGTAGGTGACTGTGAAGTCTTGTGATTGCTTGAATGGTGGATCATGTGTGTCTGACATGGAATTTTCTCCAGGAAGTGGAGCATACCTGTGTGTTTGTTTGCCTGGCTTCCAGGGCACGCTTTGTGAAGTGGACATTAGCGAATGCCAGTCAAATCCCTGTGGCCTTGGCAAATGTGTTAGTGGTTTTCATAGTTATTCCTGTGAGTGTGCACCTGAGCTCAAAGGTAAGTTTTTGTTTTTCATAACTAAATTAAAACATGATCAAATTTAAAAGGAAAGCCCCTTCAAACACTCATCTGCAGATTACTCAAGCAAAGTAAGACCCTAAAGATTTTAACATACATTTCAGGAATTTTAATAGCCAGGCACAGTGGCTCATGCCTATAATCCTAGCACTTTGGGAGATTGAGGTGAGAGGATTGCCTGATCCCACGGGTTCGAGTCCAGCCTGGGCAACTTGGTGAGACCTCATCTCTATAATAAATAAAAAAATTAGCTAGACATGGTGGCCTGTGCCTGTAGTTCCAGCTTCTTGAATGCTGAGGCGGAAGGATCACCTGAGCCCTGCATGTCAGGGCTGTGGTGGCCATGAGCGTGCCACTGCACTCCAGCCTGGGCGACAGAGTGAGACTCCAACTCAAAAACAAAACAAAACAAAACAAATTTTCATAAGCATCATCACAAATATATTTGCTATCCATATCACTTGGTTTTTTAAAATTGTGAATTCCATATACTATTGCAATTTTGCCAGTCTTTATAACTGTAATAGCCATTGAGGACCATGTTTTGCCAGTTCCTAAACATTTCTGCCTATATTTGGTAGGTAGAAATACACTTAATTGTATTCTTATGGGAATATACTATGAAATAGTAAATAAATTGCACCAGGAGAAACACAAAAATTATCACTTAAGAGAGGTCTTATATTGATAATTTTTTAGCTTAGAAATGTAATGGTATAAATTAGAGCTGGAATCAAATGAAGTGTTAGCATATGCACAAATTCATTAATTTTCCTAATATGTCTGATTCCAGAAATAAGTATATGATTGACAACATTTAATTTTCCAAGACTTTTAAAAAACTCCTATCAATATTTTATGTAAGTTAAATAGATGTAAATATTAAATAATTAAATATGCAGTTATTGAGCTGATATTTTTCTTTCTTTCTTTTTTTTTTTTTTTTGAGTTGGAGTCTCACTCTGTCGCCCAGAATGGAGTGCAGTGGCCGCTCCCGGCCACCGCAACCTCGACCTGCTGGGCTCCGGCGATCCTTCCGCCTCAGCCTTCCGAGTAGCCGAAATTACAGGCGGCATGCGCTATCACGCCTGGCTAATTTTTGATTTATTGTAGAGATGAGGTCTCGCCAAGTTGCCCAGGCAGGTCTCGAACCCGCGGGCTCAGGCAATTCACTCACTAGGCCCCCCAAAGCAGGGGATTAGAGGCTGAGCCACCAAGCCCGGCTTCTGAGTCTTCTTATTTATATAAAAAATCTTATGAATTTGGAACCTAATAAATGGCTATATTTGATTATACAATAAGTTCTTAAATTTTAAAGATGTATATAGTAAATTTTAAAAACAGCACACTTTTTTCCTCATAACGTATGACAGCTCTTTTGGAGTTAGGAAGACATACATAAAACATGGAAGAAGTCACATGTTGAGCCAACTGGACATACAGTGTTTTTCACATCAAATAATTTGACCTCTTAATTTATATTTTGTGTAGGTACAAATTGCCAGGAAGATATTGACGAGTGTGATTCTGAGCCTTGCTTTGCAGGAGTGGAGTGCCTGAATACCTTCGGTTCCTATCACTGTGGTTCATGTCCAAAAGGATTTTATGGTGATGGAAAAATATGTCATGGTAAAAGTCCCATACTGTATCAGATGTTTGTCTGCTGCATTCAATTAATTCAAATCACATAGTTCCATTCTGTCTTTTACTCATGCATTCATTCAGTGTGTGTGCATTAAAGGTCACACGGTGAACCAGATGCAGAGGATAAAAAATATATGACATGTCCTCTGACTTAAGAGGTTAAAGTGTAATCACAGGGAATATGACTAATAACCACATGACACAATAAGGTGTGCTGAGTCTTGGTAGAATTGTCTAGGGGGACTAGTAGGCATACTACACAAAGAATCAAGTCCAGCTGGAGGAAGAATGAAAAAAACCCTGAAAAAGAAGTGTTTATACTATACTAGATACACGATAGCTGAACTGGGTATATCAACTCAAGAGAGAGAAGGCATTCTGGAAGAAGAAGCAGCGTGAACACAGATACAGAGGCATCACAGCATTCCTTGGGCTGTGAATAATTCAATGTATCTGGAGCCTGGGAGGTCGGGGAAGCTGCCTCAAAAGTTGAAGGTAGAGAGGCAGCCAGACCATTGAAACTTGTGGGGGATCCCTTAAAATTTTGATGTAGGAAAGAAACATGATGAGGCTTACATTTAAGAAAGTTTATTTTAAAGAGTAGTGTGGAGGACGGACCGCTAGTGGGTAAGGAACAGTGTAAGTCTGAAGATGGGAAGAAGAGTTAAAACAGTATTTCGAATATTTAGGAAAAGACAAAGCTATACTGACGTAAGATGAGATAACTTAAGATGAACAAGTCATCAATTGGTCAGCAATGGGGATTAGCATGGCGAGAGAAAGAGATTCATTATGTTTTGTCTGATTTTAAGGGATGAGTGTGTAGAACTGGCATTTACATTACTATGGACCATACTGTGTCCTTTCACTAAATTAATATGTTGATACCTTCACTCCAAGCTTGGCTATAGTTTGAACAAGGAAATAATTCAGGTTAAATGATTTAGGTCAGAAGGATGGAGCCCCGATCTGGAAGGACTAGTGTCCTTATATAAAGAGACACGAGAAAGTTCACTTTTTTCTCTCTGCCATGGGAAGACATGTCAAGGAAGTGACTGTCTTCAAGCCAGGAAGAGAGTGCTCACCAAAAAAGTAAAGGCAGCACCTTGATTTGGACTTTCCAGTCTCCAGAATGGCAAGGAAATGAGTTTCTCTTGTTTAAGCTTCCCAGTCTATGGAATTTTGTTATGGTAGCTGAAGATGACTTAGACAGACGTACAACATAGAGAAAGAAGTCATTTTGGAGAGGAATGGTAATGAATTCAGTTTGGATATAGAGACACTTAGGCAATTATGGAATATCCATGTGGAACTTGGAAGGTGGAATAAGTTAAAGGTATAATTCTTAGTGTCGTCAGTCATGGGATGAAATTGTCCAGGGAGAACACTTAGAGAAAAGTGGGAACAAATATTGGTGGGCATCAACATTTTAAAAGATTAAAAGAGAAAAATAAGTTATAAGCTGGGCTCGGTGGCTCAGCCTGTAATCCCACGCCTTTGGGAGGCTGAGGTGAGTGGATTGCCTGAGCCCACGGGTTCGAGACCCGCCTGGGCAGCGAGACTTCATCTCTACAATAAATCAAAAAATCAGCCGGGCGTGGTAGCGCATGCCTGTAATTCCGGCTACCTGGAAGGCTGAGGCGGAAGGATTGCCGGAGCCCAGCAGGCGAGGCTGCGGTGGCCGGGAGCGGCCACTGCACTCCAGTCTGGGCGACAGAGTGAGACTCCCACTCAAAAAAAAAAAAAAAAACTTTAAAAAAAAAGAAAAATAAGTTATAAAAGACAGTGTCAAAGATCCATGCCTTTGGTTTAATTAAGTGAACGAGACCCTGTTTGGATGAAAAATATGTATTATCACCTTATGCTTCAAGCTGGGGTGAACTGTCTAGCCCCACAGATATAAACAACACAGTGCAGGATGGCAAAGAGAACTCCCTGTTACCACTACTCTCATTCTTACCTCAATATTCTGTCCCTAACATCTACACCTTCCACTCTAAGCTGAAGGGATCTAACATCTTTCTTTTCCAAACAAAGAGGAAAAGAAAAACATCTTTCTTTTCCAGAAAAAGAGGAAAATTCCCTCAATAAAACCTTTAACAAGTGGAATTTAAGAGAAAAGCAAGTTGAACCAAATCCCATTACACATACGTAAGCGAATAATACTTTTCTTAACATTGCCAGAGTCATTTTTGTATTATAGGAAGGTGCTTATTAATGCAAAAGAATTTCTGGTTGTTGGTGGTGTTTACTTAGTGTTATGGTACATACCCGAATCGATGAATATAAAAATAAATAAAGCACAATTCTTATTCTTGAGGTTATTGCTAACTGGTTGGGGAAAGAGACACATAAGAATCAATAGCATGAAGGGCAAAGTTTTAAGGGAAAACCAAGACAGGCAACATTGATTGGGTGGGGGAATAGGACTGAAGAAAGCTGTGTTATCTTGGGCTATCATAACAGAATGCCACAGACTGGATGGTTTAATCAACAGAGATTTATTTTCTCATAGTTCTGGAGGCTGGAAGTTCAAGGTCAAGGTACCAGTAGGGTTGGTTTTCTGTGAGACCCCTCTTCCTGTCTTGCAGACTGGCTGCCTTCTCACTGGGTCTTTCCCTTGGGCATGCTCTTCTGGTGTTCCTTCCTCCTCTTATAAGGACATAAGTTCTGTTGGATTGTAGCACTACTCTTATGACCCCATTTAGCCTTAATTACCTCCTCTTCCAAAAAAAATCACATTTAGGGTTAGAGCTTTGACCGGTCAATTTTGGGGAGGACACAATTCAATCCACACCAGAAGGGTTTGCTGAAGAAGTAACATTTAAGCAAGTTCTATACTTTGCAAATAGTTTAATCCAAGTGGTATTTGTATAGTATGTTCTTATTCATGGTACAATAGTTTAACTCTGATGTTTTTCTTGTTCTCATTTATAGTTGAAACGCAGTTTTTAAATGAACTTACTATACAAACTGTGGATCTCACAAAACCTGACAAAAGTTTAATTAAGGAAGAGGATGACAAAAATGTCATAGAAAGAGAGAGTCATGTTAAGCCAACACCTGAAAAAGCCTTTAGTAAGTAATGATCATAATTAAAATCGAATGACAAGTAATACTTCTTATTTGTATTCCAGAAGACCAACATATTTATTCCTCGAGAATTTTTGTTTTAAGAAAGATCACCTAAAGACTATATAATTCAGTTTAAAATGTGTTGTTTCTCTTGCTACTCTATTGAGTCCTCTGGCTTCTATTCTAGAAAAAAATTCTTCAAGTTTTATAATGAACCAAGCATCATTTAAGTTGGTGTCAGAGAAGTTTGTGGTTGGAAGTGACTATTTTCAAACTTGCGTTCTTTAAACCTCTGGAAACTGCTCAAACCCTAAAAGTGGTAAGAAGGCCATCATTTCACAAGGCCTTTCCGTTTCCACAGTGTGTTCTTTTTTTTCAATCTTGCCTTTTATTTTTATATTTTTTAAAATTTTAAATATGTGGGGTACAAGTCTGGATTGGGTACATAAGTGGCCTAGGGACAGGTGAAGTTTGGGCCTTTTGCCTGGATTAGGATCAGGCACTCTTACTGATTTTATGTGCTCCCCAATCTCCCCCCCCAACAGCTACTGCCAATCCCTTTCTTGTATTATGATAGGTGTTCAGGGTCCACTTATGAGTGACAACATGTGGTCCTCTGTTCTTTGTTTCTGTGATAGATCACTGAGTATGATAGACTCCAAATCCATCCAAGTTGCTGTGAAGTCCATAGTTTTTTTCTTCTTTATGGCTGCATAACATTCCATCATGTAAATGTACCATATATATACGTTTTTTATCCAGTCTGGTTTCAACAGGCAGCACAGTTAATTCCATGTTTTTGCTTTTGTGAATAGTGCTGCAATAAACATGCATGTACGGTATCTTTTTTGTAGAATGATTTGAGTTCCTCCGGATATATTCCCAAAAGGGGGGTTGCTGGGTGGTATGGAAGGTCAATTTCTAATTCTTTTAGGAATCACCAAACTGTTTTCTATAGAGGTTGAACTAAGTTTGCATTCCCACCAACAGTGTAGACGTATTCCCTTTTCTCTGCATCCTTGCCAGCATCTGTTGGTTTTTGTTTTATTATTAATGGTCATTCTTACTGGAGTTAGGTGGTAGCTCAGTGTGGTTTGATTTGCATTTCTCTGATGATTAGTGAAGCTGAGCACTTTTTCAAGTGTCTGTTGGCTGTCCGTATATCTTTTGAAAAGTATCTATGCATGTCTTTTGCCCACTTTTTGAGGGACTGTTTGTTTTTTTCCTTTGGGTGCATTTAAGTTCCTTGTAGATCCTGGGTGTTAGACCTTTGCCAGATATACAGTTGGCAAATATTTTCTCCTATTCTGTGGGCTGTCTGCTCTCTTGATAGTTTCTTTTGCTTTGCAGAAACTTCAGTTTGATGAGGTCCCACTTATCTATCTTATCTCTTAAGGCATGGGCATTGAAGATTTTGAACAGGAATTGGTTGTTTATTCTCATTTCCATGAGGGTGTCTCCTGTGTTTTCTAAGATTCTTATAGTTTGAGGTTTTATGTTTATGTCTTGGATCCTTTTAGAACTGATTTTTGCGTATGGTGATAGGTAGGGGTCCTGTTTCATTCTTCTGCATGTGATCAGCCAGTTTCCCAGCACCATTTCACAGTTTGTTATTAATAACTCATTTTACTCAATATCATAGGTAAAGTTCTTGCACATTTCACATCAGCTTTCCTTATGCCTTTGCATTCTGAAATATTGGCTGTTACTGTAAATGCTGTATCTTATAAGATATCATTATTTATTCCTGAACTATAGGAATGTTGTCTGATTTTCATGTTGCTTATGCATTCAATCACCTTTCCGAAGAATCTGATTTATACTTTTTTATAGTGGATTCTGTTTTTTTACTTTATTGGTCGACAACAATATTTTTGCAAATAGTAAGTTTTGTCTCCTATCCTTATTTACTTTACCTTAATAATAAGTGAGATGGAGCCTATACGTATGATAAACAAATACTAGGCAAACATTTTTGTATATTATCTCATTCAATCCTCATAATAGCTATTTATAGTAACTTAGCTATTTAAAGTAACTGTTGTTATTTCCATTTTACAGTTGATTAAACAGAAGCATAGATGGGTTAAGTAATCTACTAAGATTTACAGAGTTTTAAATTACACGAGAGAGATCTAAACCAGAGACATAACGTATTTTATATTTTACTAACAGCAGAGTCCAGGTGCTCAGACTTTTGTGTTCCTTATAGTGGTGGAAATGTCCAGTGCAAAATCTGTAGAAGCGGAAGAGCTTTGTTTCTGAGTGGTTTTTGTTTTTTTGTTTTTTTTTTGAGTTGGAGTCTCATTCTGTCGCCCAGACTGGAGTGCAGTGGCCACTCCTGGCCACCGCAGCCGGGCTCCGGCGATCCTTCCGCCTCAGCCTTCCAAGTAGCCGGAATTACAGGCATGCGCTACCACGCCCGGCAGATTTTTTGATTTATTGTAGAGATGAGGTCTTGCAGCCCAGGTGGGTCTCGAACCCTCGGGCTCAGGCAATCCACTCACCTCAGCCTCCCAAAGGCGCGGGATTACAGGCTGAGCCACCGAGTCCGGCTCTGAGTGGTTTTAATGGAAGTTCTCCCCATGTTTCACCATGGACTGTGATATAGCTGAAGTTTCTGCTAGATACCCTTCCTCCTTTTATCTGTTACTTTTTCTGAACTCTCTTTAGTTTTAATTCAGGAGTGGGTTTTAAATTTTTTCAAATGCCTTTTCATTTACTGCTTGCTATAATTTCGGTAAACAAAGATATATTAGACTAGATTTTTCAGAATATTTAAAGTCAAGAGTGGATACGTCAAATTATATTTAAGCATCCTTTTATATTTTTATTGGCATTTTTATGCAATTAAGTCATGCAATTACATTAACTGAGATACAAGTCTGATGCAAATGCTTATCCCATAACTACACTACTGCAATGGATTTACTACCTTATTTAAATTTTTTGCATAATTTCATAAATAATGTTGACTATAGAATTATACCACTCTGATAAAACTTCATCTCTTTTTGTGCATTGTAACAGTTTTAAAAATACTCTTTTCCTGATTACTTGGTAACATTTTTTCATCAGATCATCCATCCTAGCTTCGTTTTGGGAAAAGTAATTTTAGATTGCTTTTCTTTCCTTTTTTTTTTTTTTTGAATTGCAGTTTCACTCTGTCACCCAGACTGGAGTGCAGTGGCACGCTTCCGATCACTGCAGCCTCAACCTGCTGGACTCTGGTAATCCTTCTGCCTCAGCCTTCCAAGTAGCTGGAACTACCGGCGCACACTACCACACCCGGCTAATTTTTGATTTATTGTAGAGACAAGGTCTCGCCGAGTTTCCCAGGCAGATCTCGAACCCACAGGCTCAGGCAATCCACTTGCCTTGGCCTCCCAAAGCAAATCCCAAAGTTGGGATTACAGGCTGAGCCACCGAGCCCAGCTAGGTTGCTTTTCTATTTCTATCAACTTTTTTATTTCTTCTTGAGTCAATTTAATTATTTGTATTTTGCTAAAAAAAAATTACTTGTCGCATCTAGATTTCAGATTCTTGGGTGAAATCACATGTAGCATTCTTGTATAATGTAAAGTTGTCCTCATAGAGGTAGCTTTTTCTCTTTTCTCACCCCTAAGTTGTTTAGTTATATCTTTCCACTGTTTTATTTTTTTCTGAGTAGAACTTGCCAAAGGTTATCTATTTAATTGGGTTTTTTTTCAAATAATAATTTAGGTTTGCTTTTTCTGTTAATTGCCTATTCATATGCTTTTTTCTTTTTTGCCTTGTTTATTGATTTGTTGGAATACTTTATATATTCTGACTGCTGATCCTTTACATAATATGTACTTGAAATTATCTTCTTTATCTCTGTGGTTTGCCTTTACCTGTGTTGTCATTTTATACAGAAGATTAACATTTTATATAATCAAATAAATGTATATTTTCTTAAATCTTTTATTTATAGCTTCTGTTTACAAGGATCTCCCAATTTCTAAGTTGTGCGTATGAGCACTTAAATTTTCTTTTAGGATATTTATTATTTTATATTCAGTTTTTAATTCATCTGAAATTTGCTACTTTATAATGTGAAGTAGAGGCCCAACACTTTTTTTTCTTTTAGATGAATAGCAGCTATCCCATATATTTTATAAAATAAGCCACGTTAAATTCATATATTATGTTTTTAATTTATTAAATACCTATATATTTTGTAATATATTTCTGAGCTTTCTATTATATTTTTTATTATCTAATAGTCTTTTCCTATGCCAATAATACATTGTTTTGATTGGTGTGGCTTAATGTACATTTTAATATCTTTAAGACAAGTATCCTTTCATGATTCTTGTATCTCATAATTTTTGATATCTCTGATACATACCTTTATATTAACATCAAAGTCACTACATTTCATAAGAAAAAATGTACTTTTATCAGTTCATTTTGCGTAGCTATGAAGAAATCCTGAGGTTGGGTGACATTTTAAAAGAGGCTCATTTGGCTCACAGCTCTGCTATGGTACAAGCATTTTCTAGACTTTTGGCGAGGCGGGAAACTTTTCCTCCTGATAGAAGGCAAGGGAAGCCACCATTCCAGATCACAAGCAAGAGTGCATGAGGAGGTCCCAGACTGTTTTTAACAACCAGGTCTTCAATGAACAGATTACCTCAGAAAGGGCACCCAGGCCTTCGTGAGGGGTCCGCCCCCATGGCCCAAACACCACTCGCTAGGCCCCACCTCCAACGTTAAAGATCACATTTCAACATGAGATTTGGAAGGAGCAGCATCCAAGCCATATTAGGACTCTACTAATATCCATTTGCTAGCATATGCTCCTTCCTTCTATTGTAATTTTTGTAATCTGAATTTTCCGTTCTTTTTTGCTTCTTTCTCTGATGCTAATACCAAAAACTCACCTAAGGAGGTGGTTCACTTAAAGCAGTTTAGGGCTGGAGGGAGCAGTTCCGCTGTGTATGGTGACTGGGGAAAGGGGCCACTGCTTTGCTCCAGTGTCCCCTAAAGCAGATACCCTAAGGATGGTCCAGGGCCCTCTTGCTGTTTGTGTTTGTTGACATTCAATTGTGCTTACCTTTTTTTTTTTTGCTCTTACTTTCGTCTTGGGCTATAATTGGTGCACTCATGTTTCTCTGCTAGTCTGAACCCATATGCTTTTTATGTTTCAGGAAGTCCTCAAATTTTTCAAAAATCTTACTGTACTTGTTAAGTGTATTAGGGATTAATTTTTGTTATTTTGATTGTTTTCTTCTGTTGATTTCTGGGTTTGATTTCGTTTGAGTTGGTTTTCTTTGTTTTCTTATCATAAGGAGCTTAAGAAGAGCTGGGTAAAAATCAAACCCTAAGCCGGGCTCGGTGGCTCAGCCTGTAATCCCGCGCCTTTGGGAGGCTGAGGTGAGTGGATT